CGTTTTTCTCATTTTTTTGTTTTTTTCTCCAAAGTGAATTAATGCAAAAATAAAATAATTACTGAAAAATCCGAAAATGAAGTAAAAAAAAAAAAAAAAACGTGACCACTTCACCGATTTGGAAGGAATGAAAAACCGCAAAAATCCAAAAAATAATAAAAGAATGTTAGAGTAAGAAATGACTAAACTGCCCCTAGGTGAGGTTTAGGTTTTAGTTCAAAATATCTTTCTTTTATATATAAGATTGACTATTAATTTAGTTTTATATTTTCGGGTTTTTTTTTTGTTTTGCAGCAATTTTAGTGCACAAATGGTTGCCTGGATCAAGGAATTTGAAGAAACTAGTGCACCTTTGTCTCCAAGGTTTGGCTTTGGGCTGTGGCATTTTCGGTATTTGGACAAAGTTCCAAGGTCAAAATGGGGTTGTGGCTAATTTCTACAGTTTGCAATCTTGGATGGGTCTCATCTGTGTTACATTGTTTGGTGCTTAGGTTTGTTCTCATTGCTTCTTAGACACTATATTATCTGCAAATTATTTCCCAATTGAAGTTAAATTAGTTAAACAAAGTGTAATTAGTGAAATCAATAACAACCAATGGCATTATAGTTTGGGGTGGTAAATGAGCTGACCCGGCTCGTGAACTCGATGAGCCGACTTGATAAAAGCTCGAACTCAAGCTCGGGTATTTCGAGCTCACGAGCTTCGGACTCGAGCCTGATTATAGTTGTTGTTCGGCTCGCGAGCTTCTTATTTATTTATTTAAATAATATACATAATAATAAAAATAATATTTAATAAGTACATATAAAAATTAAAAATATATTTTTATAATTTTTTATTTTTATTTTTATAGTCATCAAAATATTTTATACTTCTAAAATAAAGTAATATTAAAAAAAACTTATAAAATAAAATAATATTAAAATAAAGTAATATTTTTATAATATATTTATTTTTATAGTTTTATGGTATTTTCTACTCAGGTTTGTAATGATTTCACATTTGGCCCCCCATGTTCACAGAAAACAAATTTGGTCCCTCATGTTTGAATAATTTGACATTTTTGGTCATTTCCGTCAATTTACCGTTAGTCCGTCAGTTACGGTAGTGATGGGCCCATGTTTGATTCCGTTAGTTTTAATGGAAAATTGACGGAAATGACTAAAAGTGTTGAATTTTTGAAATAATAGGGACCAAATGTGTTTTTTTGTGAGCATGGGGACCAAATGTGAAATCGGTGTAAACTTGAGGGATGAAATTTTATATTTTCCCAATAAACATTTTTTTTTGATAAATAATATTGATCTTTTTTTTTCTTTTTTTTTTGAATAAATATTGATCTTGTTTGTACTAATTGGTTTTGTATTTTGTATTGTTTTTGGAGTTTAATTAAAGCTCTAAGTTCGAATATTACTACCTAATAACAACTATGTTGCTGTTTTATTATTTATTTTTTAATATTTTTTTTGTCTTAACCAAACAATGGACTACCATTATTCAACAACTACACATTATTTTAGAACCTAGCTTTGTTTCATGTAGTTGGACTTGGTCTGAAATCTGAATCGAAATATAGAATGACAATTATTAGGTGGAGACAAACAAACAAATAAATAGAATATGTAAAATTCCATACCAAACAATAGGGGTGTAAACGAGCCGAGCTCGAGCCGAGCTCGCCTCTTTTGGCTGGTTCGAGCTCGAGCTCGAGTTTATTTTGTCGAGCTCGAGCTCGCGAGCTCCTCTTTTTTTGACTCGAGCTCGAGCTCGTGTCAGTTGTGTCGAGCTCGAGCTCGAGCTCGAGCTCGAGCCCATTGTCTTTTTTTTTTTTTTTTTTTTAAATATTTTTTTAATTATTATTTTATTATTAAAAATTATTTAAAAAAATAAAAAATAAAAACTAAATTGTAATTATATATATTTTTAATATTTTGTATTTATTTCTATAATATTTTACATTATTATACATTATTTAAATAAAAATAACATATAAAAAATAAAAAAAATAATAAAAAAATAATAATAAATCCGGCTCGCGAGCTCATGAACAACTGAAAACCGGCTCGAGCTCGGCTCATCAGAAGGCTCGAGCTCGAGCTCGAAAATCTCGAGTTCGAGTTCGAGCTTTTTACGAGCCGGCTCTTCGAGCTCACGAGTCGGCTCGGCTCGTTTACACCCCTACCAAACAATCAATGTATAATAAAAGATAGGACATAATGCAATTCACCCCTATAATTTTTTTTTTTGCACTTTCCTCCCTAAAAATTCAAAAAAGGGATAACCCTTCGTAATATTGTTTTAATTGCACTTTGCCCCAAAAGCCAATTACAAGTGGGCATCGTGCACCAAAACTAAAATCTTAAAGGGGCAACGTACAAAAAAAAATTAGGGGCAATGTGCAACAAAAACACTCGATTCCGGGAAACAGTCCATTGAAATTTTGCTATGGGGCTATGTGCAACAAGAATAACATTTTGAAGGGGGGCATTCATTTTTTTTTAAATTTAGAAGGGGTAAAGTGCGAAAAATAGAAATTTACAGGGGGCGACGTGCAATTTGTCCTAAAAATAAGATAAATTATGGTTAGCTCTCTTGTTTGAAATCAAGAAATCTGTTGTTCGATATCTTACAGTTTCGGTGCCAAGAGAAAGATCAATCAATGGCTTATGCTGCCGTGATTTCTCTCCGGCAAACGATAGACCGCCTTCTAAACTCTCCCCACATCTCGATTCTTCCTCCTTTTACAGAGTTCATAGATTTCGAAACCTTAAAAGAACAAGAACAAAGAATGGATAGCAGCACAAGATCGTTGTCTGAAGTTCTTCACGAGATGCTGGGTGTGGACAGCAGCCATGAAAGAGGATCCCGAAAGAAGTTCTTACCGGAAATCCTCGAATTCGATTCTCTACAAGAATGTCTTCGAAGATTGGATGACAGCACCAGCAGCAGCACTAGTCAAAGGATATATTCCCTCGATGTACAGATCAGAGAAACAGCATATAAATTGGAGGATAAAATTGAATCACATGTCTTGAATCAGTTTCTCCTCTCACAATCTGATGGCCCGCCATCGTTGTTCTCCTTGGATTTGCAGGAAGTAAAACAAGATATCGATTCCTACACACGAAAGACGACGAAGCTGAAAGATGAGTACGTTAAAGAATTAAGCAACGACTCGTTGGCAGAAGAAGAAGATGATGATGATGATGATGATGATTCTGTTTCATCAAGAACAGAGTTTGGTGGAAAAAAGTCAACTTTGGTTGGATTATCCGATGAAATTATCTCTTGCGTATACACCATTGTGCATCAGTTGTCAAAGGAACTTGAAATCGTCTCGATAGTCGGGATGGCGGGAATTGGTAAGACTACTCTTGCTATTGAAATCTTTGACCATCCAGCGATTCTTCAACATTTCCATCATCGTGCGTGGGTGAAAGTAGGGCCAAAGTATCAACTCAAAGATATCCTTCGTAGCATTCTAGCACAAGTGAATCTTGGCTATGATCATAAAACGCTTGTGGAAGAAGGAGATGGTGAATTAGCCGACTTGAAAAGGGTGACGAGAGAGAGCTTGATGGGTAGGAGATACCTCATTGTGTTGGATGATGTGTGGAAGAGGGTAGTTTGGGATGAGTTGAAAAAGTTATTACCGAAAAAAAGAATCGGAAACCGAGTTTTGCTGACGACTCGGCTACAGGAAGTTGCTCACTCTGCTAGCTTTGTTAATACTTTTGAAAAATCCTTTATGAAGAAAGAACAAAGTTGGGATCTTCTTCGTGAGAAGGTGTTTGGTGATGAAGAATCGTGCTCGTACGAACTTGAGAAAGCAGGAAAAAAGATTGCAGAAAAATGTGAAGGTCTTCCTCTTACAATTGTCGCTGTTGCTGATATCCTGTCCAAATCTGAAAAGACTGTAAAGTACTGGAACAAGGTAGCTGAAAAACAAAATTCTGTTTTCTTTGATGCATACGAGAAAATTTCAAAGGTACTACTTCCAAGCTACATTTACTTGCCTCAACATTTAAAACCATGCTTTCTCTATATGGGAGCTTTCCCTCAAGATTATGATATACCCCTCTCGAAACTCATCAACTTATGGAGCGCCGAGGGGTTTCTTGAAGTAAAGCCGTTCGAGACTTCAGAATATTTAGCTTGGGAATGTTTGAGGGGTCTTGTCTCCAAAAATGTTGCTATGGTTCGCAAGAGAACCTCCCTCAATGGAATCAAAAGTTGCGGCCTCCATTCCGCCTTTTGGCATCTATGCCTCAGAGAAGCAAGGAGGAACAAGTTTTTACACGTCTTAACTAGTTATGCCGATGGTTTAGCACAAGATATAGAAAACCAACGCCGATTGTGCATTCACAACAACGTTTTGTTCGGTATCAAAGACGTGCACAATTCAATGACGTCTGTTTCAACTACACGTTCTCTTTTATGTACCGGTCCATATCATCAATACTCGGTACCGGTATGTTCCGAATTGAGGTTGCTCAGGGTATTGGACGCTCTTACAATCCGTTTCTACGAGTTCCCAATTGAAGTGTTGAAACTAATTCAACTAAGGTACCTTGCCCTCACTTATAATGGGATACTCCCTCCTTCCATATCCAAACTCTGGAAACTTGAGTACTTGATTGTTCATCGACATTTTTGCATCGTAAAATCCGGTGCGAACTATTCATCGTATCTACCTATGGAGGTATGGGATATGAAAGAATTGAAGCATCTTGAGGTCACTGGAAGAAACCTACCAAATCCTAGTGAAGGGTCTCTCTTACCGAACCTCTTAACACTTTTAGATGTGAGTCCTCAGAGTTGTACGAAAGATGTTTTTGAAGGAATGCCGAATCTACAAAAACTAGGAATTCGAATCGAATTTGCGCCTGATGCTTCTGAATCCTCGAACTGCTTCGATCATGTTTCTCATCTGAATGAACTAAAATCACTTAAATGTGTCGTTGTGAATCCCGTGTTCGACACTAAGGTTGTTGCTCCTCCTAAATTTTCAATTTTTCCCGAACGTCTTAAAAAGTTAAGTTTGAGTGGTTTTGGATATCCGTGGGAAGATATGAACAAGATTGCTTTGCTGCCTAATCTTGAAGTGCTCAAGTTACAATGCCATGCCTTTCGAGGCTCCATATGGGAAATGCATGGCTCGGCATTATTCCGAGAGCTTAGATACCTTCTAATTGAAGACACTGATTTGGTGCATTGGACGGCCGAAGATGGCAGCTTCCCCTGGCTTAAGCGCCTAAGCATAAAACACTGCTACAAGTTAGAACGAATTCCTCGGAGGCTAATTACGTACGGATTTCTCGAATTGATTGAGGTCGTTGACTGCAATCCTTCAGTTGTGAATGTTGCATTGGAAATAGAAGAGAGTAGAGAAAAGAGAAACAATTATATTGATGTTCGCATCCGTTCATCATGGGAAGATTGAGTCACGACTGGCAATATATATAATGGTTCAAAAGTTTTTGTAAGTTCGAATCCGCCCCTTTTTGGGTCCTTTTGGATATTTCAGAAGTTGTAGCCTTTCTTTAAGAGTTTTAGTTATTTTCTTTTTGTGTAATAGACTTTTTAGGAGTTCTTCTGATTTTTTATTGCCATTGTAGGGGGTATATTTTTTCCTTCTGTGGGCGCACAAGGTTTTAACGAGGCCCCAAACACTTTTACTCATAATGGAATAATAAAAATCTTGGGCAAATTACGGCTACCCCTGAGGTATGGCCAAATTATGAAAAACCCCTCTTGTTTGGGTAATTACACCCACCTCTCCTTTTAAATATTTTTACATAAAATTTATGTAATTCGGTTGTTTACCGGACCAAATCGTATATTATGTTCGGTAAACGGTATGAAATGTTGGCGTACCGAAATTTCGGTTCGAATTTACCGATTTAACATCCCTAAATTTACCTCTGGAGGGGTATTTTCGTAAGATAATACATAGTTGAGGGGTGGCTGTAATTACCCAAACAAGAGAGGGGTTTTTGTAATTTGACCATAACTCAGGGTGGAGTAATTTGCCCCAAAATCTTTTGGCAAAAGAAAAATCTACTTGTATTGCATTTAATTAATTGCAAGATATGAATAGCGTTAACTTGGTTTTTATTTGTGGATAATTTTTGGTTGATCTTTTAAGGGCAAATGGCAAAAAGGCCCATCACATGGGACTTAAATGCATTTTGGTCCACAAAAAAACAGTATCTCAATTAAGCCCATCCCCATGTCTTTAGTCTAAAATACCCTTAATAATATAATTCTTATCAATTCCACCCATTATACTCTAACTTCCTTAATATTACACATTGACCCCGAATTTAAACAAATATATCACATTAACCCCCAAAATTTTTTTTTTCAGAAAGTAATTTTTTTTCTGAAATGTTTTTTTTTCCGGCCAGATTCCGGCGTTGACCGCCGGAGACCGCCGGTCTCCGACATTGACTTTTTTTTTTTTTTTGAATTGTTTTTCTTAGAAAAAAAATATTTTAATTAATATTACTGTCTTGGCTACTAAATTACTGTCTCAGACAGTAATAATACTGTTTGGGACAGTAATATTATGAATATTATTTTTCCGAACAGTAATATTATTAATATTATTGTCTAAGACAGTTAAATTAGTGTTGGAGACAGTAATTTAACATCCAAGGCAGTAATATTAATAAAAATAATTTTTTTTAAGGAAAAAAATAAAAAAAAGTCAATTAACAGTTAAATTACTGTCTCCGACAGTTAAATAACTGTCGGAGACAGTAATTTAGCAACGAATACAGTAATATTAATTAAAAATATTTTTTTTAAGAATAAAAAAGTCAATTAACAGTTAAATTACTGTCTCCGACAGTTAAATAACTGCTGGAGACAGTAATTTAGCAACAAATACTAGGGGTGCAAGTTGGAACGGATTTTCCAATTTCCGCCGGTTCCGATCCGAAAAGTTCCGATTTTGGAACAACTTTTTTCATTCCGACTTCCGAAATTCCGATTTCCGAAATTTTCCGATTTTTTTGGATTGGAATTGGAATTATATAAAATAAATTTGGAATTTCCGATTTCCGATCCGATTTAATTCCGAAATTAATTTCGGAAAATTCCGATATTTTTCCGAAAAATACATATATAACTAGTATATATTATATAATACTTATTTTCCGAAAAATACACATATAAATAGTATATATTATATAATACTTATTTTCCGAAAAATACACCTATAAGTTTAGTTTTATGATTTTGACATAATGAATTGTTGTTAGAGGTTTTATTGGATATTATACTGTGTTTATTTTTATTTATTTTTTTGAACTAAAATTTAGTAGTTATTAGTTTTACTTTTTATCGACGTGGATGGTCTTATTTTCGAAAAATTATGAACATTTTAGAAAATTTCGGCTAAGTTTTGAAATTTTAAAGCTTATGTGATTTCCGATTTTTTTCTGAAATTCCAAAATCTGCGGGCCTTTTGGAATTGGAATGAATTTTTAGATTCCGAAAATTTTGGAATTGGAATTGGAATTGTTTGTGTACTTCCGAATTTTTTTGGAAATTTTCCAAAAAGGCTTATTCCGATCCGATTCATCCGACTTTCACCCCTAACAAATACAGTAATATTAATTAAAATATTTTTGAAGGAAAAAAAAAAACAAAAGAGTCAATTAACAGTTAAATAACTGCCGGAGACAGTAATTTAGCAGCCAAGACAGTAATATTAATTAAAATATTTTTTTTAAGAAAAAAAAATTCAAAAAAAATAAATAAATAAAGTCAACGCCGGTCTCCGGTGGTGGCGGGTCAAAATTGGGGTCAAAATTGAAATTATGGTTAAAATTGGTTAATTGATGAAATTTGGCTAAATTGGGGTGTAAATCATGAAATTGGAGTTAAATTGGGTTTCAATGAATTGGGGGTAATTTTGGTATATATAAGAGGATTTTCCTTATTTGCAAATAAGTTTGAATGGGCTGGATTTATTTGAAAGACAAAAAAGTTGGATGTCCCTCTTTTAATTAAGTGCCCTTGTCATGTGCCTATTTGCCATTACCCCATCTTTTAATTAGTGGACTGGATGTAAGTTAAGAAACACATGAGCGAGGAGATGTCCATTTGTGACAGAGACAAAACAAATCAACCAATATTGCTAGGGAAAATTACAATCAACCCCCGAGTTATGGCATAATAACTTTAAGGTCCATGTGTTATTGAGAATTACCAACATCCTATGAAATTAACGGAACGTTAGAAACCCTAACATTGGAATTTTTTTCTTCTTAATTCACTACAATTACCCCTAGGACACAATAGCTAAAAAAATGTTCAAAAAATATAATATTTAGAGTATTACATTATCATCCTAAGGTATGATATAGTAACTTTAAAGTCCCTGCAACATTCGAAATTACAACCACCCCTGACGTTAGGGTTTCTAGTTTTAGGGATGTGGTTGTAATTTTTAATACGACATGAACCTTAAAATTATTATAGCAAACCTTATGAGTTGGTTGTAATTTACCCATATTTTCTAAATGACACATTTTTAGTCTGTCTGTCCAATTTTGCCGGAAGCCCATATTTACCAAGGCCTGCCGAATTGGTCCAGTTTAGGGGCGTTCATTCAGTAATATTGTATCGGAATTTCAGTAAATCGAAAGTTTGGTACTTTAAAATTTTGTACCGTTTACCGTACCGAATTATTTGGTTTTGTACGGTTATTTACCGAGTTAATTCAGTTTTTATGGTTTGGTACCGGTAAAACCAAAAATAAATTTTAATATTAAAAAAAAAAAATTATTTCAATAATCGGCCCTAAAAACAAAACGTGATTATCAATAGAGGCTAATTTGTAAATAATGGAAAAGGTATCAATCTAAAAGTATTTTATAATTTGTTATAATCTTAAAAAAATTAGAATAAATGAAAAAAATACATATTTGTTAAATATTTCGGTATTCGGTACGATACGGTATACCGGACATCAATACCGTATACCGCACCGAATACCGAAATTTCAAAAAAGAATTACCGAATACCAAACTGAATTTTCGGTTCGGTGTTTGACACGTACAGAATTTTCGGTTAAGTTCGGTTGGTTTACTGGCCGAGTGAACACCCTTAGTCCGGGTCCAGACTCGCAAAATTGACTTATTTATGAATTTTCCCTTTTTTTGCTTTTACGTAATTGTAATTAATGTGATGAATTTTCAAGCTCTCAGTCTCAACTTTGCACAACCAGTAGTAACTAGCAAGACTAGTTGATTAACGGCCAACTGTCCTGGCATTTAATGTCATTTCATATTCTCAACCATATTTTCATTTAAAAAGAAAAAAAGAAAAAAAAAAGGAAAATTATAGGTTGGATCTGTATTAATAGTTTTTATTAGCGTATATTATTATTATTATTATTATTATTATTATTATTATTTATTATAGTTACCTTGTACATTAGGTTACCTTGTATATTGGATTACCTTGTGTAGTATGTTAGGGTTTCCTACATGTAACTATATATATTCTCAATATACGTAAGAGATATTATTCTCTCTTCTCTCCAAATATTCTCCTTCTATCATGGTATCAGAGCCAAAAACCCTAGCCGCCGTTTCTCTCCTTCTTCAAATTTTTTTTTCTCGTTCTGCGCCTTCTTCAATTTTTTTTTCTTCACGTTCTGCCTTCTTCTCTTCAACCATGGCCACCGAAACACCAACACCGCCCATGATTTCTAACCCTTTTCACCTTGCTCATGCTATATCTAACATCAAAGCCCTTATTCATGTAACCCTGGATATTAAAAATCCGAACTATCAAAAGTGGAGCCACTTCTTCACCATCACCGCAGGTCGCTTCTGCCTCACCGATCTGCTTCTCGGAAACAAAAAGCCCGACAACATCTCCGCCGATGAATGGCAACGTGCGGATTACCTCCTCCAATCTTGGATCTATGGCACCATAACCGAGGACCTCTCAAGCATGGTTCTCTCCAAAACCGCAATGGCCCATGATCTGTGGAAGGCCCTCGCCTCTCTCTTTACAGACAACGAAGACTATCGGGCCATCCAACTCGAAGAACAGTTCAAGTCCCTCAAGAAAGGATCTCTTTCGATCCATGATTATTGTCAACTTCTCAAAACCACTGCCGACAACTTGGCAGACGTCGGCAACCCCGTGTCAGACAAGCAACTCGTCCTCCAAACCCTCCACGGCTTACCAAAACATTACGGGACCATTGTCAATCTAATCTCCTTCCAAACTCCGCTGCCATCTTTTCTCCAAACACGTTCACTACTCCAGATGGAAGAACATCGCATTGCTGAACCGGAACAGACCCCTACTGTTCTCTACGCATCTCGCCCCAACAGTTCCAACAGTTGGCCGAACAGTTCCAACAGTTGGCCCAACACTTCCAGCAATTATCGAGGTGGTGGTTCTTGGCGCAATCAGCGAGGTGGCGGTCGCACAAATCGTCGTGGCGGTCGTGGTCAGTCACGACATCCGATGCAACACTACGGTTACAATCAATTTCACTACCAATCGCAACCTTGGCGGGCCCCTTATACGCCTCAGACATCTTCATCGATTCTTGGACCCCCCCCAAGCTCTCCTGGTCCTTATCATGCTCCTACAGCTCATGCTTATTTCGTTGGACAGCAAGATCCCCAACAGCACGTGAACTGTTCCAACAGTTCGTCGAACAGTGGTCCCCTACAGCCAACAGATCTTGCCACTCATCTCAACACGTTGACTCTTCAGTCATCAAGCGAACCTCAGTGGTTTATGGACACGGGCGCCTCATCTCACATGGCACCTCACTCAGGTAATTTCCATTTTATTTTTAATCCTAGCAATAATTTTCCCAAGCATGTCATCGTTGGTAATGGCTCCTCTGTTCCTATCCATAAAATTGGCCACACCATCCTACCCTCTACCCCATTTCGTCTAACCAATGTCTATGTTACTCCTCACATCATTAAGAACCTTGTGTCTGTCCGAAAATTCACTAGAGATAACTCTTGTTCAGTTGAATTTGACCCTTATGGCTTTTCTGTGAAGGACCTTCGGACCAGAACACTTATCCTCAGGTGCAATAGCTCCGGTGATATATACCCTATTGGCGCCCCTTCTCCCAGCCCATCCGCAACCGCCCTCCTTGCTCACACCACGTCTGTCTCCTCTACTACATGGCATCGTCGTCTCGGTCACCCGGGAAACCCTGTCATGTCTCGTCTTTTTTCTTCCAATTTAATTTCTAGTACCAAAGACCCACGGGAGTCTCTTTGTAATGCTTGTCAATTAGGCAAACATTCTCGCTTACCTTTCTTTACTAGTCATTCTATTACCGTTGCACCTTTTGAAATTATTCATGCTGATCTATGGACCTCTCCTATTTCTAGTATTTCTGGTTTCAAATATTACCTCGTACTAATAGATGATTTCACCCACTATACATGGACTTTCCCCATACACTATAAATCCGATGTTTTCTCACTGTTCCAACAGTTTCACAAACTTATACAAACACAATTTCAGCACTCCATTAAAGCTTTACAATGCGATAATGGACGTGAATTCAAAAATACAGATTTTCAAACATATTTTGCCAAACACGGTATCTTACACCGTTTCTCATGTCCCCACTCTTCCCCTCAAAACGGACATGCCGAACGCATGATCTGCACCATCACAAACATGATCCGCTCACTTCTCTTTCAAGCTTCCCTTCCCCCCACCTATTGGGTCGAAGCCCTTCATATGGCTACACACCTCATCAACATCCTTCCTACCAAATCCACACAAAATCGCACACCACATGAATCCCTATACAAATCAAAACCCACATACTCTCACCTTCGTGTCTTCGGTTGTCTCTGTTATCCCAATCTAACCGCCACCACCCCTCACAAACTCGCCCCTCGCTCTACTCCTTGTGTCTACCTTGGTCACCCCTCATCGCACAAAGGCTATCGTTGCCTCGATCGGTCAACCGGTCGAATCATTATCTCCCGCCATGTGACCTTTGATGAAAGCCGTTTTCCATTCGCTGAACCCACCGACTCACCCCACAATTCCCCCACCTCTAATATGACCGAACCCCTGCACCCACTTCTCTTCCTTCCTCAACCTACACAAGTCCAACCAACTGTCTCACACAACTGTCCCAACAGTTCGTCCAACAACGATACACAACCACCTACGGTTACAACCAACTGTCCCAACAGTTCGTCCGACAGTCCTCCCTCAACTACACCCATGCCCCTCCACCCGACTGCATCTCCACACCCAGCAGAATCACAGCCTCCCACTCCCGCTTCCTCACCCCCACCCAACCATCCTATGTTGACACGCAGCAAGGCCGGTATTCACAAGCCCAAAATCCCCTTTTCTCTTACCGTGTCTACCGCATCCCAAACTCCCACTACATATCGCCATGCCCTCCTTGATCCAAACTGGCGTATGGCCATGCTTGAGGAATATACTGCTTTGATTAAAAATAACACATGGGATATTGTGCCCCGCCCCCCCTCTACTAATGTTATCAGTGGCAAGTGGTTATATAAGCAGAAATTGAAGGCTGATGGTTCATTGGAACGGTATAAAGCACGATGGGTTGTTCGCGGTTTTGATCAACGCCCTGGCATTGATTTCGATGAAACATTCAGTCCGGTGGTCAAACCAGCAACTGTTCGAACAGTTCTCAGTATTGCTCTCTCGCGATCATGGCCTATCCACCAACTTGACGTGAAAAATGCCTTCTTACATGGCAATCTCTCTGAAACTGTCTACTGCGAGCAACCTCCCGGATTCGTCGACCCATCTCGCCCCACTCACGTGTGTCGTCTCAACAAAGCACTCTACGGCCTCAAGCAGGCCCCACGTGCTTGGTACAAGCGTTTTGCATCTCACATTACTAGCATGGGGTTCAGAGAATGCAAGTCCGACACTTCACTCTTTGTGTACTGCCGCAACAGTTCCCGCGACTGTCGCAACAGTTCACGCGACTGTCGCAACAGTTCATGCGCCTACCTTCTGCTGTATGTCGATGACATTGTACTCACAGCCTCCACACCTGAATTGCTACGTTCTATCATCGCTGCCCTTACTCAAGAGTTCGCAATGAAGGATCTTGGCGATCTTCACTACTTTCTCGGCATCTCAGTCACTCGCTCGTCGAATGGGCTGTTTCTCTCTCAACGCAAGTACGCTGACGAGATACTAGAGCGTGCACACATGGCCTCCTGCAACCCTTGTCTTACGCCGGCTGACACCAAGAGCAAGTTGTCCTCGACCACTGGACCCCCCGTTGCTGACCCCACCCTTTATCGCAGCCTTGCCGGTGCACTGCAATACCTCACGTTTACTCGTCCTGACATCTGCTATGCTGTGCAACAAATATGCCTATTCATGCATGATCCGAGGGAACCTCATATGGCTGCTCTCAAGCGTATCCTTCGCTACATCCGTGGGACCCTCGATCACGGCCTTCAGCTCTCCCCCAATCCGGACCTCTCCCTTATCGCCTACTCCGACGCCGATTGGGGTGGCTGCCCTGACACTCGTCGTTCGACATCGGGCTATTGTGTTTTCCTCGGCAACAACCTCATCTCTTGGTCCTCCAAACGACAGGTCACTACTTCTCGATCGAGTGCGGAGGCCGAATACCGAGCTGTCGCAAATGCCGTTGCCGAAACGACTTGGTTACGCAACCTACTTTCCGAGTTGCTCTGCCCACTTCCGAAAGCCACCATTGTCTACTGTAACAACGTTAGTGCCGTCTACCTATCCAGCAATCCCATTCAACACTCTCGTACGAAACATGTGGAGATCGATATACACTTTGTCCGAGACAAAGTTGCTTTGGGACACGTTCGAGTTCTTCACGTCCCATCCGCCTACCAGTTTGCTGATATCTTCACGAAAGGTCTCCCCACTCAACTGTTCCAACAGTTTGTTTCCAGTCTCCACGTTCTCTCCTTTCCCGTTTCGACTGCGGGGGTGTATTAGCGTATATTATTATTATTATTATTATTATTATTATTTATTATAGTTACCTTGTACATTAGGTTACCTTGTATATTGGATTACCTTGTGTAGTAGGTTAGGGTTTCCTACATGTAACTATATATATTCTCAATATACGTAAGAGATATTATTCTCTCTTCTCTCCAAATATTCTCCTTCTATCAGTTTTGAACATGGAAGACAAAAGAAAAGGTCTCTCGCAAGAATTTAGTATAGTTGTTGGGCAATGAATGAAAAGATATATTCCTATGGGGAAGAGTTGTTTCTTACTTCTTAAGTGAAATTTGTGCGAGATCTCCTGTGTTTGTCTGTTTGAGAGAGAGAGAGAGAGAGAGAGAGAGAGAGAGAGAGAGAGAGAGAGAGAGATGGCTTATGCTGCTGTTTGTTGTATTGAGCAGACACTAAAGCGCCTTTTAAATTCTTCACATATTTCGATTGTTCAAACTTCATCCCCACAAATAATTAGCCTTTTGTACGAGGAGATTCTTTCCTTACGAGAAGCTCTCAGAGAATTCAATGAATGCCGGGTCATTGTTGACATGAAGATGGTGAAAACTTTGGAAGCTGGAATCATAGATGTTGTATACAAATTCGAAGATGTAATCGACCTCCATATCTCAAATCAGTTCCATTCACTACAATCTGACGAAGAGACCGATCATCCTCCATTAATGGTACACTCATTAGATGTGCAGGAAATAAAGCAAGATGTCGATTCCTTTATCGAAATGGTGGACAAGATGAAGAGAGCCTACACTCACGAATTATGCAACCCGACCCCGCACGATGAAGAAGATGGTTTTTTTATCTCTACAAGAATTGATTTTGGTGGAAATGAGTCTAACATGGTTGGATTATCTGACCAATTTACGAGAATCAAAGGTCGGCTTCTAAATTCCTCACAATCTGAACGGATGGTTGTGTGTCTCGCCGGGATGGCGGGCATTGGTAAGACTACTCTTGCCAAGAAACTCTGTCAAGATCCATTAATTACGAGTCATTTTAGCGCACATGTGTTTGTGACCATAGGCCCAAAATGGAGATCAATATACACCTTGATAGATATTCTTAAACAATTGGATCCTCGCCCTCGTGAAATAAAGCTTCTGGAGGGAGAAGAAGTATTAGATTGTTTGAAAAGGTCGATTTCTGAAAGTTTGAAGGGTTTGAGATACTTGATCGTTTTGGATGATGTATGGAATGAGGAGCTTGAATTGGTGAACTCATTTCCAGACGACAAAAATGGAAGCCGAGTATTGCTCACAACTAGGATAGAAGAAGTAGGTAAATGCTTGGATTGCGGGTACAATGTAAGATTTTTAGATAAGAAGGAAAGTTGGGATCTTCTTCGTGAAAAGGTGTTTGGTGAAGAAGAGTCGTTTTCTTATGCGCTTGAGAGAGCTCGAAAGAAGATTGCCGAGAATTGTGAAGGTCTGCCTCTTACAATCGTCACAGTTGGCGATATCCTGTCCAAATCTGAGAAGACTTTGGAGTACTGGAACGAGGTAGCTGATGAGAAACAACATTCAGTTTACAAGGATGCATATGATCAAATGTCGAATGTACTGTATCCAAGCTATGACTATTTACCTCAACATTTAAAAGCATGCTTTCTTTACATTGGAGCTTTCCCACAATCTTATATGCTACACGTGCCCCGACTGATGAACTTGTGGAGTGCTGAAGGATTTCCCGACTCAGAACCAATTCTTTCCTCAGACCCGCCCACGATTTTCGCAAGTAATACCTATTATTATTATATATGCGAGCTTCGTCGCAAAAGTGTTGTCATGTTCGACAGAGAACAACGCGGTTATCGCCTTCATTCATCATTTTGGTACCTGTGTAACAAAGAAGCAGCCAAGAACAAGTTGTTCTATGCCTTAAATTGTCGTGCCGATGCTCTACGAGAAGAAGGTACAAACTTACAGCCGCGCCGATTGTGCATCCGAAATAATGTTCTACTTGCCATAGAAGATGTGCACGACTCAATTGCATCTGCTTCAACGGTACGCTCTCTCCTATGTACCGGTCCATTTCATCAATATTATGTGCCGTTATCCTTTTTGAAGCATTTAAGGTTGCTCAGGGTATTGCACGCTCTAAGTATTAGATTTTATGAGTTCCCAATGGAAGTGGTGAAACTAGTTCAACTAAGATACCTTTCCCTCCTTTATGATGGAGACATCCCTCCTTCGATTTCCAAACTCTGGAACCTTGAGTACTTGATTTTTGGTTGACATCTAAGCATCATAAAATCTGTTGCGAATTTATCGTATCTGTCAGTAGAAATATGGACTATGAAAGAATTGAAGCATATTAATGTCATGGGAAGAGATCTACCACATCCTGGTGAAGGATCTCTCCTACCAAATCTCGTAGAACTTATTGGTGTGGGTCCTCAAAGTTGTAACAAAGATGTTCTTGAAAATATACTTAATCTAATGATTTTAGGGATCCATATTAATTTGGCTCATGATGCATCTGAACAATTGAGTTGCTTCGATCATATTTCCCACCTCCGTCAACTAAAAACACTCACTTGTGACATTGCGAATCCTATATTCAAGACCGGGGTTGTTACTCCACTTGTACCTCTTTCGGACTTCCCATCAAGTCTTATAAGGTTAGAGTTGAGCGGCCTTGGATATCCGTGGGAAGAAATGAGAAAGATTTCTCCATTGCCAAATCTTCAATTTCTCAAATTGGAATGTTATGCCTTTCGAGGCCCAAAGTGGGAGGTTCGCGACAACGAATTCCAAAGTCTTTCGGTTCTTCATATTGAAGACACTGATTTGGAGCAATGGACATTTCGAAACTTTTCATGCCCCCCTGAAATTATGTTCTTTTGCTTCGAACATTGCTACAAGTTAAAAGAGATCCCTCTGACATTCGGCAAATCTCTTAGAACAGTTGAAGTACTTGACTGCAACCCTCTGGCTGCGAATTACGCGAACAAGTTAAAAGAGGAGTGGGACGAGAAATTTAGTGATCTTGATTTTTCATTACGTCTTAATGTTCGTTCTTCGTGGGATGATGGCAACACCAACTCATGACTCTACCTACCATATTGCTTCTTAAAAAGGTTAGTCATTCAATTTTTAACTTTTGTTAAGGTTCAATTATAAATGTTGATAATAAATTTTGATCAAGGGGTTCTTCATTAATTTAGGGTTTTTGCAGAAATTGATAAGAAATTGGGTTTTTTTTGTCTAACTAACTCAGACTTTAAAATTAATCTAAGGATTGATGCGTAATTGAGGTTTAATTAAAATTATCAACATTTAATTTGACCTAATTGTGTGTAGAAATCAAATTGGGGGGTAAATTAGTGTTTGCAAATTTGGGATTTTATGAATATGGACCTAATTGATCTGATCTAATTGACTGAATTACTGCGGTATACGTTATTATATTGCTAGAACTGGATCTAGAACGATAACTTAGACATGTCACGTGAGTGAATTCAAATAAGTTATGATCGGATGTCGTCAAGGTTAGATAACCTATGTTTCGTATGCCTTAGTATGCTCTTAGGGGTCCGTATAAGTGCCAATGTTCTTGCTAAGTTTTGGAGCTCATTGTTTTATGTGTTTTCTCTTGGTTCAGGTGAGCCATGCGATTGCACGGATGTTTAGGCGGACCGGTGGAGTTCGTTGGAGTCATGTCGTAATATGTTAGTTGCATTGTCTACTTTTTCTGTAGTTTTTAATGTTTGTTATACGTGGTTTTGTTGTCATGCATGTTGGATTTTATAAATAGCTTAAATAGCTTCAATTAGTTTTTCTGTCAAAATTAGCCGTGGGTGTTATATGGTGATATTACGAGTACAAGGGATTCATCTGCAAAAGCTTGTTATCACAGGGAGATTAAGTGCTATTTACCCTTATTAATATGTACCATCTCGACAATATTTGAGTTTGCAGCTATTGAAAATTTGAATTACTCGTCGACTGTTACATAATGACACCGTACATTTTGGCGTTACCCTTGCTTTAAACTTCATTAGGCACAACTAATCTTAATTGTACTGTTAATCTTTATGGCACACACGTCAATCATATATATATCACCATTCTACTTGTTACGGTAATCTTAATTGTGTCTTCAGATTCTACTTGTTACGGTAATGGTCGAAGTAAAAAGTCAATTTTCTACTAGTGCGTTTCCCGTGTCCGTTTCCCCATATCACCAATTTTGTGTGTCCATGCTACACAGTTGTCTTCATATTCTACTTGCACAGTCTATTAAATAAAACCAATTCCTGTAATATATATACTATTTCAATTATTTTCAATAAAAAAAAATCCACATCCCCACAATATAGTGCATTGATAAACCTCCATTTTTTTTTATGTACTTGGTAAAAATCCAATTCTGCAACACTACTTCTCATTACATCAGCCAATGGTTAATACAACAAATATATTTTTATAAGGAAATCAAATTCTGTTCATTTTTAAGAGAGAATATAAATTGAACAATTGATTAAAGAGTGCTTGTGATCAGTGTAGTCAATATCGCGGTATACCGCGTTATGTATTTGCGATACGATGCGATTTATATGGAAACGATACAACTCAGCGTATGAATCGATGGTAATCAAATAACGCTAAATATCGTTAGATATCACAATACGATATCCGATATGATACGATAATTACAATACTTGTTTTGAGGGTGATTTGTGCGACTTCTGCCACATTCAGGTGTGATTGTGCGATTTTCATCATATTTTGGGGTGATTTGTGCAATTTTGGATCGGAACCTATAGTTCAATTCTACCGGACCCAGCTGTTGGGCAACGGGTATCCACAAATATATGTGGATGAAAAAATATTCAGCATGTTTTTTTATATCTTTTTTTTTCTTTTTCCTTTTACATTTATCTAGGAACAATTTTCTTCTCAAAGAATAGTCAAAGACTTGTCCAGTGATAGTCGAGACTCGAGAGAGAGAGTCAGACTGTTTTGCAGCGAGTAAAGTGAAATTTGAGAGAGAGAGAGAGAGAGATGGCTTATGGTGCCGTTTGTTGTCTTGAGACGACAATTGAGAACCTTTTAAAATCGTCACATATTTCCATTGTTCAGAATTCGTCTTCGTCCCCACAAATCATTAAACTTCTGTACGAGGAGGTTCTTTCCTCAAAAGAATTTTTCGGAGAATTCAATGCATGGAGAAGCACCATTAACATGAAGATGGTGAAAACTTTGGAGGCAGAAATCATAGATGTTGTATACCAACTTGAAGATGTAATTGAACCTCATCTCTCAAATCAGTTTCATTCACAATCTGAACAAGAGTCTGACTATCCTCCGTTAATGGTATACTCAGTGGACCTGCAGGAAATAAAGCAAGATATCGATTCCTTTATCGAAACGGTGAAGGAGATGAAGAGGAGTTACACAATCCCTCACCAGAAGAAGAAAAAGAAGAAGATGAGTCAAGAATTGATTTTGGTGGAAATGAGTCTAAAATGGTTGGATTATCTGATCTATTTATGAGAATCAAAGATCGGCTTATAAATTTATCACGATCTGAAAGGATGATTGTGTCGCTCTATGGGATGGCGGGCATTGGTAAGACTACTTTTGCCAATAAACTCTTTCAAGATCCATTCATTGTTAGTCGTTACAGTAGGCTTGTGTTCGTCACCGTAGGCCCAAAATATCGACTAGCGGACATCTTGGTAGATATTCTAACACAAGTGAATTATAACAATATTGATGAAGAAGAGATTATGGAAGGCAAGCACGTATTGAATGAGTTGAAAAGGAGGGTGTACGAGAGTTTAGAGTCTTCGAGATACTTGATCGTGTTGGATGATATATGGGACAAAGAGCTTTGTTATGAGCTGTTGAACTTATTCCCGGACAACGAAAATGGAAGTCGAGTATTACTGACGTCCAGGATATGCCGAGTAGCTGAATGTGCTAAACTTTTAAATACTTTCGAAATACCATTACTTAGTAAGAGAGAAAGTTGGAATCTTCTTCGTGAGAAAGTGTTTAGTGAATAAGAACCGTTCTCTTATGAACTTGCAAAAGCTGTAAAGAAGATTGCCGAGAATTGCGAAGGTCTTCCACTTACACTAGTTATTGTTGCCGACATCCTTTCCAATACTGACAGAACTTTAGAGTACTGGAACAATGTAGCCGATGATAAACAACATTCAGTTTACAAGGATGCATATGATCAAATGTCAAAGGTACTATATCCAAGTTATGACTACTTAGAACAACATTTAAAAGCATGTTTTCTCTATGTTGGAGCTTTCCCACAAAATTATTTGGTTTACGTGTTTGATCTGATCGACTTGTTGAGTGCTGAAGGATTTCTTAACCCAGAACCAATTCACAATGTAGACCCAAACGCGACTTTCAAAAACGGTACGTATGCTTATACGTATGAGCTTCGTTCGAAAAATGTTATCATGTTCGACAAAGAAGCACGCGGTTATCACCTTCATTCGTCACTTTGGTACTTGTGTAACAAAGAAGCTGCAAAAACTAAGTTGTTCTACGCCTTAAATTGTCGCGCCGATGCTTTACCAGAAGAGGGTACAAAGTACCATCGCCGATTGTGCATTCGAAATAGTATTCTATTTGCTATTGAAGATGTGCACAACTCAATTGCATTTGCGTCAAATGTGCGCTCTCTCCTCTGTACTGGTCCATTTCATGAATACCCAGTCCCATTACCTCTAGAACATTTAAGGTTGCTCAGGGTATTGGAAGCTCTTTCTATTAGATTCTATGAGTTCCCAATTGAAGTGGTGAAACTAGTTCAACTAAGATACTTTGCCCTCTTTTATGATGGAAACCTCCCGACTTCTATTTCCAAACTCTGGAACCTTCAGCACTTGATTATTCATCAATTCAGCAACATAAAATCTGTTGGGAATGCATCGTATATGCCTGATGAGATATGGAATATGAATGAATTGAAGTGTCTTCGGATTAGGGGAAGAAACCTACCACATCCTTGTGAAGGATCTCTCTTACCAAACCTCTTAAAACTAAGTGGTGTCGGTCCTAAAAGTTGTACCAAAGACGTGTTTGAAAAAATCCCTAATCTGAAGGAGTTAGTAATTACAATCGAAGTGGCTCCTAATGCTACTGAGGGCATGGGCTGCTTTGATCACATTTCCCATCTTCATGAACTAGAAGTACTAGAATGTTACATTATGAACCCTATATTGAAAACAAATGTTGTTACCCCACTTGCTCCTCTTTCAGACTTCCCATCAAGTCTTACAACATTAATTTTGGGCGGCTTAGGATATACTTGGGAAGAAATGAGTAAGATTTCTGTCATTACCAAATCTTATATTTCTCAAATTGGAATTATATGCCTTTCGAGGCCCAAAGTGGGAAGTTCATGACAACGAATTCCAAAGTCTTGAATTTCTTCATATTGGAGACACTGATCTGGAGCAATGGACATTTCAAAATTTCTCATGCCTCTCTGCGATTAAGTACCTTGAAATTGTACATTGCTACAAGTTAAAAGAAATCCCTATGACATTTGGTAAAGCTCTCCAAATCATTGAAGTAATCGACTGCGACCCTACGGTTGTGAAGTGCGCAAACAAGTTAAAACAAGATTGGGAAGACAAATATTGTGATCATGACAGTTCATTGGATCTTAATGTCCATTCTTCGTGGGATGATGGGAAAATCCAGTCACGACCACCGTATTGATTCTCCGCAAGGTTAGTCATACAATTTTAATTCTATTTCAGGGTGAATTATAAATATTGTTATGTTGATGTTTGATCTATTTTTACAAATTAAAAATCCTTTTCAGGTAAAAGTAAGTACAATTCGTAAGATTGAAACAAAATAATATCATCACGCTCTGTAATTTACGCACATAAACTATATGTTCATGCTGCAGTTGAGCAAGGTCACAATGCACTAACATATATCTCTGTTCAGACAAACCGAAACTTTCTCCAAGAACAAGACACGAAGAAATTGCGGCATGCTCTGTTAAAGTTTTATATTATTTTCTCAGTAAATTTGTGCTCTGATTGCACTCTTTGTTTTGTCAAATTGTTGTTAATGTATCCTGATGTAATCAACCTTTCTGACTTTATTGGCGAATCAGATTTCTTTTTTAATAAACTTGATTTGTTGTTATCGGATATTTGCTTAAATAAGCTTTCTGACCATATTGAATTTTGGACGAGATGAACTTCACCCCCTATAAATTTTTCATTTTGGCACTTTCCACCCTAAAAATTCATAAAACAGATTAACATAAAAATTTATTTGTTAAATTCTCTAACCAAGCTCTCTATCTAAAGCTATCTCTTAATTTATTCTGAAAATCATTGCAATTTGTTAGGCTTTCTAACTATGCTCTCACTCTAAACTTTTCTTCAAATTCTTTTGAAATGCATAATTGTTTATTGAACTATCTAACTAAGCTCTCCTTGAAAAATTTTACTAAAATGCATTATTGTTTGCGAAGCTCTCTATATAAGTTCGCATTTAACGTCTCTTGAATTACATGTCTGTTTACGAAGCTCTCGGTCTAAGCTCTATTTAATTTCTAAATTCTCTTGAGCATGTTTTTTTTGTTAAGATCTTTACCAAGCTCTTGAAATTACCTGAAATAAAATTAGATTAGGCCGTTTAACTAAGCGGCCTAATCAAAATGTATCTTTCGAGGCCAAAAAAAAAAGCGAAGAGAGGAAAGTGCGCTTCTGAAAAAAAAAAACTATTGTTCAATGAGTTTAAACTATATTTTAGTTAGAATTATATATTTGGAAGTATTTTGTAAGGTTAAGTGCACTTTGCCCCCGTACTTTGAGCGTGTTTGCATTTTACCTCCCAAGCAAAAATTGCATGATCATGCATGAACTTGCTAATTTTTTGCATTGGCGCCAAAATTGTCCATTTTCAGCCAAATTGCTCCGTGAAGAGGGGCAATTTCGATAAATCATAGAAGTAAAAACAGAAGAAATAATAAAAAGAAAAATAAAAAAATTGCCCAATCATCTTTACCAAATCTTGAAATGGTTTATCATATCAAGAAATTTGTTGTTTTGATTTTGACTGATTCCCTCTTTTATTCCAAGAGAATCAAGAAATTATCCAATATTGATTAGCTTGTAAGAGAATTATCTACAAATCGAAATTATAGTTCTCCATCCGTCAACTTTCTCTTCGTGTGTTTTGGCTTTCTAGACTTTCCCTTTAGAAAGAACAAAATTGTTGGAGACTTGTGTGTTGTTGAAAATTTTGTTTAGTTTTTTTGAGAATGTTTTAGAGGGATTTAAGAAAACATTTGGGCATAAACTTATTGAAGAAAGAAAGGGGAAAGAGGATTGGCGGAGGAAAACAGGTGAAGATAAGCAGTGGTGGTGAAAAGGAGCGCAAGTAAAGAATGTAAGTGCCCCTGTCAAACTCACAAGATTCGCCGTGACTAGGATTATCCGGTGAAAATTGCAAAAATGTCATTTTTTTGGCATTGTGCAGCAGAATAACAAGTTTGGTAAAAAGATGTGAATCACTTTTGCTTAGGGGGGCAAAGTGCAAATCGTAGCGTGGAATTTGGAGTTGAGTCTTATTATTATGCCAAGAACAAAAGTACTACAAGTTTTGATTTTTCATCTTAGCCTCCTTTTGGGAACCCTACACGAAAACCTCAGTTCAATTTATATATTTTGAGGATAAATCGACCAAATGCAATATGTAAAATACAAAATAATGTAATAATTAACTAGACATGTGCAAAGTACGTGCATCTTTCTAGTGCAGTCATCATAAAGCAAGCACATTCGATGAAATTTGAATTACTCTTCAACTATAGAATGACAACACCGTATATTATTTAGGTGTTATCCTCGTTGGGACCGGTCCCAGAGGTTAGGAAGCCCAAGACGCGATTATCAAAACAAGGCCCTCTATTTCAATTATACCAAATAAATTTATGAAAAAAAAAATCAAATAACACTCAACAATATATAATATAAATCAACAAATTTGAAGAACTCTTCATAATTAAAATACTATTTTCTTCCATCGCATAATCATTAATCAAATTCGTAAAAATCAAGCTTCTCTTCAATATTTTTATGAATGGATAAAATAACTAATTTATTGAATATTTCTTACGATATAATCTAAAAACAGCTTCAACTTTGAGATCAAGCGGTGGTAACTGGTAAAGTAGTACTGATATGCCTAATTGGACCAACCTAATGGGCCTACAATATCTTTACCTATTGGGCCACGAGCCCAATATCGAAGCCATTATCAATGAGGCCCAATCACCTTCAAGTAAGGTTTGGGCCCGACAATCTCAACTAAGCTATAAATACACATTTGAACTCATTCCATAAGGTACGTCCAATTAACTGAGTAATACTATCAATTGTATTCTCTGGATTATTTCCACTATCAGCACGTTGACTTGAGCGTCGGAGGGGTTTCCGCCGGATCAACCCCCGGCGTAGTTCACGTGTGCTCATTTCGCAGAGACCTCAGGATCATTAAATTGACAAGCTACTGATCCGCTTTGCTCTCCCAGTTCGTTTTCTACAATACCCCAGGTGATCTACATTTTAGCATCATCATTTTGGCGCCGTCTGTGGGAACGATGCAAACCAGATCACGTAGCCAACAAGATCCTCCTGAGGCGTCTGCTCGGAGAGAAAATGACACAGCTAACAACCTCCCGGTCTGTGGAGGCTCTGGCTTGCCACCTCCTCCACGTGCCGCGGATCCGCCTCGCGAGGTTCAGGTGATCCCCCCTCGGGACCACCACTCGCCGATTCACTTCTTCCCGCCCTTCGATCGGTTCAGACAACCGAGAAGGCCCTTCAACGCTAGTAAGGGTTATCGACTCCCTGGGGGCTTATATGTGCCCCCAAAACATTTCGCTCGCCAAGGGTTATCGACTCCCTGTGGGCTTACATCTGTCCCCAAAATATTTCGCTCGCCAAGGGTTATCGACTCCCTGGGGGCTTACATCGCCCCCAAAATATTTCGTTCGCCAAGTGTTATCGACTCCTTGGGGGCTTACATCTGCCCCCAAAATATTTCGTTCGCCAAGGGTTATCGACTCCCTGGGGGTTCACAGTGCCCCCAAAACATTTCATTCGCCATGGGTCATCGACTCTCTGGGGGTCTACTTCCGCCCCCCTCGAACGGTTCAGATAACCGAAGAGGACCTTCAGCATATAATCCCCGAACCTTCAACAAGATCAACTTTTACTTGCTCCTCTAACGGTTCAGATAACCGATAAGGACCTCCAGCGTATAATCCCGGAAGCTTCAACTTGTGCTACCACTGAAGCAGTGGCACCATACATCATCATAGCAGGAGCCAACGCTCCTCCTCGTGAGGCCCCACTAGGTCCTCAACATGATCAATTTCTACTTACTTCTCGAATGGTTCAGATAACCGAAGAAGACCTTCAGCGTATGATCACGGAAGATTCAACTCGTGCTGCCACTGAATCAGTGCACATCCACCCCAGTGGTAGGGCAAGGTTGGGCATCTCACCCCAGTGGTTCGTGATCGCCTCATCCTAAATGGGGGGCTATCCCATCCTAAAGTTGGGCATCTCATCTCAAGGGTGGTACATCCACTTACCTTTCAACCCCAAGGGGTTTCACATCCCATCAAGTGTTTCACGTCCCTACTTCAAAAACAGAAAAAAGGATCTGACGCGCACGCGCGAACTAATGGCACAACCGTGCGCATCCACCTCAGACCATAGGTCTCAAGCGCCTCATCCTACAGTGGGCAGTTATCCCCATCCTAAGGTTGGGCATCACCCTTACCTTTCAACCCCAAGTGGGTTCACATCACATCTCAAGAGACGAGTATAATCTCCCTACTCAAAAAATAGAACATCCCAAACGGTGAACATAAACCACCAAAAAGGTACACATCGCGCGCGTGAGACCTAAGAACAAGAAGAAGAAAAAGAAAATGAAGAAAAAAAAAAAAAAAAAAAAGAAAAAAGAAAAAGTTGAAAAAAAAAACAAGAAAAAGAAATAAGAAGAAAAAAGAAGAAGATGAAAAAACAGAAGAAGAAGAAAAAAGAAGAAGATGAAGATAAAAATAAAAAAAATAAAAAATAAATAAATAAAAAAAAAAAAATTCCAAGCCAAGCCGCGCCATCGCCCAAGCCGCGCGCGCGCGTCATCACCCAAGCCGCGTGCGCCCGAGCCAATCAAAAAAAAAAAAAAAAAAAAGGAAAAACCGCAGCCAAGCCGAGCCGTGCGCAAGCCGAGCCAAGCCGCGCGCGGCTCCATTCAATAAATAAATAAATAAATAAAAGGGAGAAGCCAAGCCGCGCGCGCGCCCGAGCCCAACAAAAAAAAAAAAAAAAAAAAAAACTGAGCCAAGCCACGCGCGAGC